ACTGTGTAAAAATATAATTCAAAATAACCAGTCTGTCAAGAAGTCCAGGGAAGTTAGAAACATTTTGAAATACATTAAAATGAAAAAAATAAAGTATCAAAATTTATAGGATGCAGCTAAAGAAGTGCTGCTTTTGTATATTGTTTTTGTTTATTTGATTGTTGTAGGCTGTTTCTGTGCCAAGGATCAGCCTGAGGTGTAAACTTAAGGTCTTCTCAGGTATTTTCTGAGCCTGCACTCTTCCCTGGGTGTGTATGATCACTTTTTAAATGCTACCATTATGCAGTTGCTTTCACATGTCTTAATCTTTAATATCTGGCTCCCAAAAGGGGGGGAAAAAAAAGAAAAAAGAAGGGGGAAAAATGGGTGCCAGCTCTTTAAATCCCCTGGAAGTCACTTTATTTGGAGGGAGGTACAATAACAATGGCTGCCCACCCCTTTGCACCTCTATCAGAAGCAGCACTTGGTAATCAGAACATAGATTCTTGATATTTGGAGGAGAGAATCCTTTTGGTCTATCCTGGCTCTCACCAGTTGTATGCAAGCTGCCCCAGCAAAACATGCACAGCTGCCTGCCACAGGGCTGGGAGTAGGGGATAAGTAGCTGCTATTGTGCTACTCATATTGTGAGAGTGACCAAAATTCATCATAATTTACTGTCCATGCCTTCCCCTGAAAGTTGGAAGCCTCCAATAGGCTCCCAAGTTCCAAAACTGCTATGTGAGACAGTCTACCAGTGCAGTTTTTGTCTCCATGGGGAGACAGATTCCTGGTGATTCATACTCCATCATCCTTCCAATTTCTCAGGAGGAAATATTAGGTTAGGGGTGAAGGCTTCTGATTAGGGAAAGTCACAAAGAGATACACATAAAATTTGAAGATAGAGATCTAATTACTGGAGGTGTCAAGAGGAAAAGGTAGTAGTAAGTAGGCATAATGAGTTGGCCCATGTGGGACTGTGAGTGAGTTGGTGGAGTCAGAACCCAAGGGCAATGAGGCTTTAGAATAAAAGTGACCTGAGAACTCATGAAGATCATCACGTCTGTAGCCTAATCTGCAGCTCTTTAGGTTTCCTCGTCACTGGTTCCATGTTTGTTTCAGAAGACTTGGTCGGAGGCTCAGTTTGTCTTATGCGAGATGTGATTCTAGGAGTAGGGGAGAGTAGAGCTAGACATTATACCTCCTCACAGGCCCAAGGTAATGGAACTAATTCGTGATGCTGGAATAGAAGGCTCTTTGGAGTCTTATGAATAGACTGTGCACCAATTGTAGAGGAGACCAATGTCCAATATTTGGGCTGATAGGGAAGAAATAGATGATTCTCTGAGGACTTTTTTTTTATTATTTTTTATTTTTTTATTGGGGAATTGGGGGGATGGGAACAGTGTTGGGGAATCGGGGAAGGGGAACAGGCAAATTGCTGT